TGTGTATATATACATATGTATATATATATATATACATATATATATATATATATGTGTGTATATATATATATATAGTGTATATATATATATAATCATTTTTTATTTTTTTGCCAAAAACACACAAGAATGCTTTTTTATTTTTTTCTCAAGAATGCTTTCCTCCTATACAGTATATATATATATATATATATATATATATATATATATATATATATATATATATATATATATATATATATATATATATATATAATCATATTTTTATTTTTTTATATAAAAAGGTTTCAATTTGAGATTTTCATCAGAGTAAAAGTTCAAAATTTAAAATTTCTTCTTATAAATCACTTTTTTTTTTGCTGTTAGTACATTTTTCTAAGTTTAATTTGAGCAGAAAGCGAACATGGAACACATTCTAATGAGGTTCATCACAAGTGCTTTAATCTTTTTCCGAGATCTTTGCTTTCTAAATCTCCAGTTGATGTAGGATAAAATGTGATCCCATCACACACAAATAAACAGGATTTCTTTCTACTGGTATGGAAACTCCAAGAACTAAAATCTTTTGATAAGTTGCAGGAAAGAGAAATTTCCAACATTGCTGCTTCAGGTGTTACTCCCACTGTTGAATCACACAGATGAGGGCTCCTGTGAGGATGGGATGCTGCTCATTGTGTTATCTCCACCTCTAGTAGCAAATCTCTAATATCTCTTTTCTTGAAAAGGTTATGGTTTTCTCAACTTGTTTTAGCATCCTCTCCATTGATTATGGAGGAGGCAGTAGCAGCATAACTTCAAGCTTGTGCTAGCTTAAAATTGGATAACACTTCGAGTATATGTCAATAATAGACTCTGTGGAGATCATATAATCTGTTAATTATCATCTCATGAATCATCCTGTTGATGATACATGCTATAGAACATACCTGAAAACATATTTTCAAACAGTTTTAAGTCTGCAAACATCTTGCTAGAACCACAAGGGTCATGGTTTGGAGCACCAGAACTGCAGATGATTTGTATCTTCACTAACAACAGTCATTCTGCAGAACAATACTTGCAAATAGCAGGAATCAAGGAATTTTGTACAATTATTCTTCAATTTATACTATTTCTTAACTCCTTCAGTGGACCTAAGTTTGGTCCATCAGTATCAATCACAATGTTTCAAAATGATGCCGAGGAAACTGCTTTGCTAGTTTCACAAAACTGATTTGCTGCAAGAAGCAAGAAAAATTGTGAGATGATAACCTTTTTAGTTTCATGCTAATCAAGTTTTTGTACAGATCATTATCCACTCGCAAGATTTGGCTCCTGAGATGCCAGTAGAAAAATATGTAATGACACTAATTTGATCGATGAAAACACAATTATGGTAAAAACATCTTACAATTATTGTTCATTACACAGCCTAGCCAAAGGGTTGCAAACCCCAAATCGACTCTAGCTTTTCAAGCAAAATTCCTAGTTATACCTTGCGGTTCCTGATCTTCCCTTTACCTTTACCTTTACCTCTTTTCTTGCCTTTCAGTTTTAGTTTCTTCTTTAATTTTTTCTTCCCTATACCACCGATCGGCTTCAGATGTGATTTGCACTGATCATGAGAAGCACTTCCTCCATCAGCCATTTCCATATCTGTACGACAAGATTACATCGAATAAATAAAAAGGAGAAGAAGAGATAGGCCACTATAAGTGGCACCACAAGATATATGCAATATACAAAATATCATGCAAGATAATATACACAAAATCAGAATGCTAGCTGTTAGTGCAAGCTTCCAACCCCATAGGCAGTCTAATATCTTTCACACAGCTATTGATTTTTTAACCTTCAAGAAATCACGTACAATGAGAAACAAACATGGCAGAAACCAGCCAAACTTCAACTACATGAAGCACATGAACGAAGATGATATCAATGAAGTAACACAGGATACGTGCAACATACAAAATATAGTATAAGATAATATAGGTAAAACCAGAAAGAAAGCTCCTTCTGGTGCAAGATTCCAACTCCATAGGCAAATTAACCATTGCAACAATATTGAGGAAGTCCAAAATCTCTCGCAGCTATTGGTTGTATTTTTTACCTTAAAGAAATAATCTATATTGAGAAACAAAACACAGCAGCAACCAGCTAATCTCCAACTACATAAAGAAAATGTAATGTAGCATTGATTCTTATAACAGCATGTCTAGCACTAGTCTTCTGAGATTATGATCACGAACATGCTGCATGGCATAACTGCTAGTCAAGTTGTTACCTAAAAGGATCTTCATGTAACTTGGGCATGACTACCAGCAATCCAAAAATTATATTTAGTGTCCTCGAAGCAATGAAATTCCAACATCAAAGGTGGGACAAAAGGATTACTTTTACATACAATACTATAAAGATTGAATCTACTACGGCGATATCAAGAAATCAAAAATGTATCCCCTCATATTGAAACTTTGACTTACCTTCAACGTTAGAAAATTAAAAAAAAAAGCATAGATAGATTGAGTTTATGTCACATACAATTAGGCTTGAGATAGATATTGAACTTGGCTTCGTATCAAGCTGAAAAATAAAAGAGACAAAAAATTCAAAACTGATTTTCTCAATCAGTGAAACCTACGCCAGACCATATCAACCCACAGTGGCTCTTAATTTTTTGAATTATCATGTCAGATTGACACGTATATGATTCACTGTTCATGAAAGACGGATCTTCAGTCATTTACCATGTAGGAATTACAAGGCACGATATCGTTTGGCTTCTTTGAGTTGAATCAAATAGCTAAGTTTACTGAAAAATTCTTACCAGCCACAATCCACTCCACAGAGAAAAGAAATAGAATGGGTTCCAAAGAATAAAGAGACAACTAGCAGGTCTGGAAAATCTCGATCATGTAGTGCTTCATAAGAATTCAAATGACAAATTCTTGAATCTTGATACAAACAATTAACAAATAGGTCAACCTTGTTCAGAGCAGCTTATAGCATATTTGTAGGAATGTCAACAAACGGGTACAAAAGACATGCTGTAAAAGAATTCACAACTCGACAGACTAGATTAAATTTGGCAATAAAAAAACACAATATTCATAACAACAATCTTATTGACATTATTTATCCTAATTCATGAAGGCACACTTTCCATTGCAATTTATCAATTCGATTTCCTAAGCCTTTTCAAGTTGAGCCAATCCACTAAGAACGCTATCACACCCTTTTCTATCACGATGTCCATTTTTAATGTCAATTTCTGAAGCAGTACAAGTAGGACAAAGAACCGGATTCGCGCCGATCCAGGAGAAAGCATAATAAACAAGAGCAGGTTCCGGATGGAAGACTAATAATCCGGTAAGCAAGAATAGGGGACCGATGGGACTCACCCATGGCGGCGGATGTTTCGGCCGCGGGTTCATCGGCAGCGACGGGAGCTTTCACAGGAAGCCTGGGGGCAGCGAGGGCGGCCTCCTGGGCGGCGAGCTTGGCCGCCTCCTTCTTCTCGTAGAAAGGCTCCGAGATCTCCCTCCTCAACGTCCTCAGCCTCTTCTTCCTCTTCGATCGCAGCGACTTCGCCATTTGCGCTCGGGGGTTGATTAGGGCTTTTCGCTTCGGCGGCACGCGGGGGGGCCTTTAAACTTGTGCGGGCGTTTATCTCGTGCATCTCACGTGATAAATCACTGGCCGTTCGATGTATATGATCATACCAACGAACGGCAATAAAACATTCGCATAACTAGTTGAAAACAGGTTCGCATAAAAATTATTATTATTATTATTATTATATATATATATATATATCAAGTCATTATTATTATTATTATTATTATTACATAATACTCAAGTTTTTCCATCAATTAAGTTAGTCTAATGCAAGTGATTTAGTAGAAACTACTATATATATATATATATATATATA